CGCCCTGCAGTCCCAGGTGCTGCGGCTGTGGTGAAACAAGAGCAGCGGTCAGTTCTCCCTGGGGACAAGGTGGGTGAAACCCAGCCCCCCTCTGCAAGGCCAAGGCCCCTGCATGACACCCAGCTGCTGCTCCATGGTGGGCAAGGCCCAGGCGCACGGTCCCTGGGCTCCCTCTCCCCCCCTCCCATACACTTAAGGGGAGCATGATGGTACTCACAGGTGGAGGCTTCCCTGGCCTCGGACGACACAGGAGATGTTGTCTGTGGGGTTCCTCAGGGGTCCTGGGTCCTGGGCAGGCTCCTGGCTCGCGACATACTCCGGCTCCTCCTCCTCGGTGTCCAGGACCGGTCCCTCCACCCAGGGGGCATGGACGGCGTGAGCCCCCAGGATGTGGTCCAGGGCCTGAAAGTGGGGGAAGGCCTCCGGGTCGGCCCCTGGCAGGCAGGCCCAGGAGTAGGATTGCCGCTGGTCCTTTATTTTGCAATGGACTTGCTCCCGGGTCCGCTGGTGGCCTCTGACGGCCGCGTTCCTGTGGCTAGTGTGGAGATCGTGGACATTGGAGGCTTCCACTCAAACCTCGATGAGGTCCACGATCTCCGCACTAGACCAAGCGGGCGCTCACCTCTTGCGGCCCCGGGAAGGCTCCAGCCTGGTCCCGGGAAGAGGCGGAGGGCTGGGTGGCAGCGGGGGGCTGGCTTGAGCCGTGCCAGGTGCAGGGGCTGCTAGCTGGGTTGGCAGGCTTGCAACTGGCACAAACTGTGTAGCCAGCCCGTGGCCCTTTAAGGGCTCCGGGGCTGGGAGGGGGGCAGACAAGTTTCCCTGGTGTTGCCCAGAGTGGCCACCAGGGCAAGCTGGGAAGGGTTAGCCTCCACTAGTTCCAATTAAGTGGCTACACAGCCCTTAATTCGAACTAGCTAATTCGAACTAGGCATTAGTCCTCGTAGAATGAGGTTTACCTAGTTCGAATTAAGCGCTCCGCTAGTTCGAATTAAGTTCGAACTAACCAAGTGCTAGTGTAGCTCCTATCAAAGTTAATTCAAACTAACATCTGTTAGTTCGAATTAACTTTGTAGTGTAGACATACCCAGAATGTTTACAAGGACATCTGAATAGTGAGCCCAAAAAAATGGGTTTGCTGTTAAGACACGGGATAGCTGTTTGAACAATATCTAGCACAATAAATCCTGCTTTCAGCTAGGATCTCTCAACTCTATCATAAGTACTAGTAGTAATAATAAACACATAGGCTATTCGGAACCCATGTGCTGGTGATAACTTTCTGTCATTACCAGAGTGTCCTATATGTGGGTAAAAATGAGTGAATGCACAGGAAGAAAGAAATGATCATTATTTATGTATTTCATTTCAACTATTTTTGTGTGCGACATTTCATTGAGAATATTAAGACAGTACCCACTCTGAAAAGTCTCAAAGACAGAAGACAGAACAAATTAGCAAATCCAAAACTTAGAATAGCTCAGAAGTATTTGGGGATTTTATATACATCATTTTTCTGCACAATAATAATAAATTAACTTCTTATGGACCGAGCAGAAGTAATAGTGTTTTAAGAAAGGCTTGAATGAGCAATGTAGTTGGTCTTAATCCTCCATCATGCTTTTCTAATTATTAATCTTATATTTGTAAATTTCTAAAGCATGCATCAGTGCCATGTGGACTCTCAGAACCTACATCGCAAGATAAATGATCTTGTCTATTTCATTAGGTTTATAGGTTTAAAAAACCCTAAGATGTTAGTACAGTAAAACTCCAATTGTCCAGTATCCAATGGTCCAGCACTCCTGATAGTCCAGCACCAACTGGAACCCAGAAGTGCTCTGGCCAGCCCCGGCTTCCCCAGGTCAGCTGAACCTGACCGGCGGCTGACTTGGGGAAGCCAGGGGCAGAGCAGCTGGGGTGCTGCCGGGTTGGTCCCACAGCGCCACCCTCTCCCATGCGGCGCAGTTCCCTGCCGACTCCCCCTCCCGACCCCTCATAGCCCCCCTTCCGGTACTCCAGCATATCTGATAATCTGGCACTCCCTGGGTCCTAAAGGTGCCAGATTATCAGAAGTTTACTGTACACGAGTAGTTCTGTGACCTTTTTTTTTTTTAAGTCTTATTCCCTTCTTTTTCCAGTCTTATTTTGATTCCCATTTTTTTCCTTTCTCTATTTTCCATTTCAGTGGCCTTCCATTTTCTCTCCCTTGTTCCTTTCTTTGCATTCTCTCTTTTTTTTCTAGGTTTCCTTTCACAAACACTTCTCTGTGCCTCTCCATCTCTCTCATAACCTTCTCTTTGATCATCTCACTTCACCTCTCTGGCATGCTATTTCTGTTCATTCCTAAGTCTCCCATGTTATCTTTTTTCTATCCCTCCTACAAATCTTTCCCTTCCCAGGATATTCCAATTCCCACACTTCCCAAGGTCCTTTGTTCCCTCCACGTATAAGCTCTCAGTACATAACAGGAGATCTTTTGGGACATCCTTCTAAAGCAGTCAGAGACCATCTGGCTGTATTGGGCTCCATTAAGAGATGGTTGCTCCACTGTGGCCACAGACATTAGTGGCAGCTCAATAGAGGAGGAGCAATGGCACATTTAATGTTGCTTGTGAGCAGCATTCATCTATGCATCAGAGCTGAGCTTTGGGCATCTGGCCATGCATATACTCAGCTTAGAGGAAACTTTGGTCATTCCTGTCATGGGTTGGATTTGAGCCAACAGATGATAGACGCTGTATATCACTACCAATCCTCTCAGACAGTCAGTCTCCAGACAGGTTAGTGTGGGCATTGGTGGCTTTTTAGAGATTTTACATTAAGTTTAGCAGGTCATTGTGTGCTTCATTGAAATTGTACATCAATCACCATGTCAATGACTATTTCTAATTAGGTGGAGTGAAAGCAGTAAAAGCATTCTCTGTTTTCAAGCTTCCTCCTTTTTTATGGCTTTATTCCTGTGTTATTAAAAAAGAGGCCAGAATTATTGCTGGGAAAGTTCTATTTGGTAATAATATTAAATTTTAGCATTTAGATGGCACTTGCAAAGTGCTTTATAAGCATTAACTAATTAACCTTCCCCAAACTACTGTGAGGTGGTGTATTTGTGTGCATGTTGTTATCCAGATTATCCTAGCAGGGAAATGAAATACAAGAAGCTGAAGTACTGGCCCAATGACACAAAGAAACATCAGAGCCAGGATTAAAGATCCTACTTCCCCATACTGTGCTATGGCCATCTGATCATTCTTCTTTATTACGAGATAATGCATTAATAAATTTGATACTGCTATTAGCTGTGTGACATACATACCAAAGATGGCACAAGAATAGAAAAAGGTAAAGCTCTGTCAAATCATGGATTATCTGAATGTATCAAACTAACACTGCTCTACTTTTCACCTCTCTCTCTCTCTCTCTCTCTCATCTTCAGTGTCAACATGGTTAAGACTTTAAAGGACAACCTATGCTGATCTGAGAAGAAAAAGGTCGTTTTCAATCTGAATTCATAAGGTAAAGCACTTCTCAGTTGTACAGTAAAAATAAGTATTTTATTACTGTGTTTAACACTGGTGGCACTCATCTCCAATGAGTGACATCATTTGACATTTGAGGCAGTGGGTCATCAGAGTTAGCCACTGGCAGACCACCAGATGGTTTATTTATCTGAGCATGCGCAGGCCCAGCCGCTTGCTGCTCCCAGTGGCTACAGTTCATCATTTCCATACAATGGATGCTCTGGGAAGCAGTAGCCCAGCCCACATCACTTTCCATGGCTCCCATTGGCCAGGAACAACAAACTGAAGCCCCGGGAGCTGTAAGACTCCAAGCCTGCTGATGCTCTGGTAAACAAACTGTCTGGCAGCCCACCAGCAGCTAATCCTGGTGAACTGTGTGTGGCCCGTGCTCCAAAGGTTCCCCATCCCTGGTATAAACACACTGAAGTCATCAGGAAAATCTATCTGAGTAACCTGGGCTATGCCTCATGAATGGGCTTTACAGAATCAGGCCTGAAGTTTGTATCTATGTTGTTTTAATGAATACAAATCATGTTACAAGCTGTGTTTGGCCATGTTTAGAAAATGTTTACAAATCCTACTAGGGAAAGGGTTATTGTAAGGCACCTTGTAAAGAGGCTAGTCCCTGGTAAAAACTTCCTAAGTCTAGTCATTGATTCACATAAGCCTGTAAGAAAAAAGAATTGTTATTTGGGCAGAGGGACAGACTCAAACATTACCTTTGAGGCCTGGAACAAGAATCTGAACAGAGCAGGAGTCTTCTGCAATATGTTGAGGATATCCAGATCTTAACAGTGACAGGAAGGCAAGGCTAATTAGAGTCACCAGAAAAAACAGATCTCTCTTCATAATGAGTGCTTGCTGGTCACTGACTCCTAAACAAAAGAATGAATAAACAGTCATGGGAATTCCAAAGGCTTCTAATAGTTTCTGAGAACACACAGTGTGGGACCACAAGTGGAGTCTGTTTGTACATATTATAGCCTAAACAGCATGAAAAGAATGGGTACAGGTTGTATGCCTAATGTTGTACAGTACGACAGTGCTTCATTCAGCAGTTCCTCTTAAGACTACACTGGTTAAGATAAAATTCAGAAGGCAAATTATGTAAAAAAAAGGACAGGATTCTGAGTAAAATTCCCCTCACTTAATAAACAAGGGTATGTCTACACTATCCCGCTAGTTCGAACTAGCGGGGTAATGTAGGCATACCGCACTTGCAAATGAAGCCCGGGATTTGAATTTCCCGGGCTTCATTTGCATAAGTGGGGAGCTGCCATTTTTAAAACCCCGCGCAGCGCGGCTACACGGGGCACGAACTAGGTAGATCGAACTAGGAAGCCTAGTTTGAACTACCTAGTTCGGGCTCCGTGTAGCCGCGCTGCACGGGGTTCGAACCAGCGGGATTTTAAAAATGGCGGCTCCCCCCTTATGCAAATGAAGCCCGGGATTTGAATTTCCCGGGCTTCATTTGCAAGTGCGGTATGCCTACATTACCCTCCTAGTTCGAACTAGGAGGGTAGTGTAGACATACCCCAAATGAATAAAAAGGCCACTGATAGGTAAGATTTATTTTCTATATCTATCAATAGAAAAGATGTCCTGTAAAGGTGAGGTTACCATGTATATTGAATGAGAGAAAGTAACAGGGATTTACATGGAAAAATACAAATATCTAAGTTGACATCTCCGGGTAGGAGAATGTAAAAATTTTTACCTTGCAGAGATCGGAGAGCTGCCACTGGTACTTTATAGTATATGACGCAAGAGGGCTTACATAGAAATAAATGTTCAATTGCATCATGCAGTGAAAATATACCAGTAACAAATCCAGAAGGTCCTCGCTATCTGAGCAAGCTGAATAACCATTTTGGAAAGAGACTTAAGACTAGTCTGCACTTGAAATGCTACTGATGCAGCTGTGCCAGTGTAGCGCATCTGGTGAAGACACCTCATGCCATTGAGGCTTCGTCTAGACTATGGGGTTTTTCTGCGATACCGGAAGTATCCTGGAAAAACTCTGCCAAGTCAGGGAACGTGTCTGCTCTTCCACTTTTTTTTTGGGGGGGGCAGAAGAGCAGTTGCACTCTTTCGGAAGCCCTGTCTTCCTCCTTCCACGAGGAAGAAGGGCTCCTCTGAAGGAGGAGGTTTTTCCAAAATTTGCCCAGTGTGGACGGGCCAAATTTCGGAAAAGACTCTTTTGACAAAACTATCGGAAAAAAAAACGCGAATTGTGGAGCACAATTTGCTTACCTTTTTTAGATAAAACATTGCAGTCTAGACGTAGAGAGAACTTTCCCATCGGCAAAATAAAATCTTCTCCTCAAGAGGTGGGAGCTATGAGAATGGGAGAAGCTCTCCCACCAAGATTGTGCTGTCCGCACCCACAGTTAGCTCAGTATAACTTATATAGCTCAAGATAGTGGCTTATTCACACCATTGGGTGACATAAGTAATAGCAACATAAGTTGTACAAGTTGAAGCTCCTGATCTGGCACCCTTGGGACATGACTGCCCCACACCAGGGAATTCCTCAGACTACGGGAGAACAATGAGGGCTCCTTTGCCAGCTCCTAGGCTGCCTGTGAGGCTCTGCTCTAGCAGAAGCAGAAGGGCCAGTATTGATGGAGCAGGGATGGGGAAGGTGCTCTGGGAAAGAGGCAGGACAGCAAGTGCACCCCTGAAGCCAGGGGTAGGCACTGGGAATGCAGCCGGGGAAACAATGGGACCGCACTCCTGTTCCTCTCCTTCCCTCCCTGAGCATGAATGCCTCAAAAATCAGCTATTTTCAACACTCCAGAAGCTGTGGGAGGGTGGGGGAGGAATTGCTGCGCATGGGGCCCCTGACTTTTCCCCATGAATGCTCCAGCCCAGGAGCACCCACAGATGCTGGATCACAGATGTTGACAGGTGAGAGAAGTCTAGATTATAGAGGTTCAACCTGTAGTGTGTACAAGCTTTTAGTTCATTGAAATCACAACCTCTTACAAATCTATCTGTAAAATGGGCTTAATATTGTTATGCTGCAAGGGAGACCTTTTGAAAAAAGAAACCGCCCAGAAATAGAATTTTACTGAATAGGTCACCAAAAGTTGATCTTCAAGAAGTCTGCAAAAAAGCCTCTTTTTGGGAATGAAAATAACTCCTGATTTCTTCCTTTCACTAGCACTCTGTAGTAATACGAGTAGGAGAAAATGAAAACAGGATTAAAGCTTCAAGATATGGAGAAGATGTCAGTCACCCATATAGGTTCATTGTAGCCTCAACACACCTATGTGCAGGTTTATGGCTAGACTTAACAGATATCAGGCTATCATGGAAGTAGCTCAAGGATCTGTAATGGGACATGAAGTCTTCCACTCCACACTATCAATTTAAATCAAGCCTAGTGTGGTTGCAATTGAAACTCCCTGCCATTTGATTGTGGTGTTCAGTAGTTCAATCCAGATACAGATGCAATCCACATTACAAACCCCACCATCAGAACTGGCACATTTTCTGGGAATCTCCACAGCAAGGTATATACTGAATGAACACACAAGCTGAATTACCTTCACAATGTTAATGGCTAAAACGTGACCCTGGCTGTACTTCCACACAAAGGAATAGCGGCACAAAAGAGTCCCCTTATTTCTCCTCATAGGCTATCCCATATCCTGGGAGATGAACAGTCAAGGAGCACTTAAGGAAAACAAAAACCAATGAAGAGAAACTAAATCAGTGATGGGCAGCCGAGGCTAGTGAGTGGGCCACATTAGTGGCCCTCCATCTCAGTGGGCCATGAGATTGTCATAAACAAGACAGTATCCCAAGACAGGGTAGTTTTGCTCACTGCATTTGCACTTCTAGAATTTGTGGGACGTGCAGACTGAATTGTACCAGCACTCTGATTGTTCTCACAGTCCCATCAGCATGCATCTGCTTTATGTGCATGTCACTTCAGTAATACTGGTAGGAAAAAACTGGTAGGATGGAAACCAGCGGAATCTGGCAACTTTGTGTGTGAGCAACATTAAGCAAAATGTCTTGCGGGCCACACACAAAATCCTGATAGATCACATGCAACCTACTGAGACCAGCGCTATAATAATAAATAAAGATATACCATCTCATAGAACTTGAAGGGACCTTGAGAGGTCATCAAGTCCAGTCCCCTGCCCTCATAGCAGGACCAAGTACCATCCTTGACAGATTTGCCCTAGATCCCTAAATAGCCCCCTCAAGGATTGAACTCACAACCCCCAATGCTCAAACCACTGAGCTATCCCTGTTAAACATATCCATAAATGTTTTGATGTGGGAAAAGGGTAATTAGTGATGTCAAAGTCAGCAGATATACAAAAATTTTTAATATTGTGCAACACAAAGCTGACTGAAGAGTTACAAAAGTATCTGTCAAAACTGGGTGAGTGGGCAACAAAATGGCAGATGAAATTCATAGAGTAATAGGACTGGAAAGGACCTCACATGGCCTCCTAGACCAAGCCCCTGCTTGGTGTTGCCGGTAAGCTAGGCACTTGTGTAGCCTCTCAACATAGATTCAAGTGCTGTGCAGATGACCAACAGAGCACTCATAGCTAGATTTTTGTTTCTGCTGAGGGTGCACATCCACATGCACCAGTACACACAAAAAAATATTCCACGCATAGATAGAAAAAATCCACACATTGATGAAAGAGTTTAGAGGGCTGATGTGCAAGATAATACACACTGTAAAACATAATCCCAGTTATACATACAGAATGATAGGAACTAAATTAACTGTTACCATTCAGGAAAGATCCATCATCATGGATAGTTCTCTGAAAACATCCATTCAATAAACAGCAGCAATCAATAATGCTAACAGAATATTAGGAAAGAGACAACTAAGAAACAAAATATCATAATGCCACTATATAAATCCATGGTGCGCCCACACCTCAAACACTGCAAGTTCTGGTTGCCCATCTCAAATATATATATATAAAAGATTTGGAAAAAGCAAAGAGAAGGGCAACGAAAATTATGGGTATGGAATAACTTCAATATGAGGAGAGATTTAAAAGGCTGAGGCAGTTCAGCTTAGAAAAGAGATTGCTAATGGGGGAGATGATAGAAGTCTATAAAATCATGAATGGAGTGGAGCAGTGGTTTCCAAAGTATGGGTCATGACTCAGTACTGAGTTGTGGAATACTAGGCACTGGCCGCTTTGCGGTAGGGTGACCAGGTGAGTAGTGGTGGTTGCTAAGGCAGGCTTCCTACTAGGGATGTTAAGTACCCATTAATTAGCTAATGGAGCAGTCAATGGAATTTCCACTGATTACTCGATTAATCGATAAGGGGGAGTGCTCGTTATCCCTGCTGCAGCTCCTGCTGCAGCTCTGCAGTTTACATGTATTAGGAGCTGGGCAAGCAAGCAGTCTGGCTCCTACTACATTTAAACTGCAGAGCCACAAAGGAGTTAGCTCCTGGGGGTGGTGCAAGATGGGATCCAGCAGTCCCAGCTCATGCCGGCTCCGTTACCACTGGGGTTCTGCATTTTAAATGTAGTAAGAGCTATCTGGCCATCTGGCTCTTACTACATTTAAAGGGCAGAGCCACAGCATTCTGGGACCTGATGCAAGGTGGGGACTGCTGAGTCCTATGCCAGGTCCCCCTCTGTGCCTCTGCCTTCCCTGCCCCCCCTCCGATGGTGCTAGGGGAGGAACCAGCTTTTAAGCACTGGTTCCTGCTCCTCCCTCCCTTGCTGCATCTGCTTATTGGGTAGTCAACTACTCAACTAACCACTTACATCCCTACATCCTACCTGTTCTGGCACCCCAGAAGTGGCCAGCAGTAGGTCTAGTTCCTAGGTGGCGGCCATAGGGTTCCGTGCACTGCCCTGCCCATAAG